TTGATGGGTGTTATAGCACGATGATAATAAGTCTTATCCCTTTTGCATTTCCATGACATATTGGTGATTATTCTCTTAACCCTTCATTTACTATTCCAGTGTCTCCTTTCAGCTCTCGAGTAATATTTATTAGCCGTGGATGCCATCAACTTCTCAACTTGTGGTTTAATTAATGAAATGGATCATGATCTCTCGTGGTCATGTGCTGCAGCTTCTCTAATATCATCCAATGTAAGTTGGGCTGTTCTTACATTAGGTTTCCAAACTATCTGTTTTTTCTTAGCTGTATCATTCACATCATTCTGATTTTCAGGATACATATCACATATAGAAGTTACTATATCATTCAGTATGAATCGAATTAGTTGTGCCTTGAACTCCAGCATTATATAAAACTTCTTCATTGTGAACATGTTAAAATAAACTATTGCCATCTTTCTTGTATTTGTTATATTTACTGCATGTTGCCAATTCGTGAAGATGCTGCAAAACTTAACCATGCCTCCATACACATATGTCCCTTCTATTGTTATTGATGCTACTCTTCCATTGATAGTTTCCTGTATACTTTGCCTGATTTGTTGCACATCACGAACAATCGAAACATCATCATGATTTCACATCGCTATATCACATTCAAGGTTTAACATGATCCATTCGACAATATTGTCGGTTAACAGTCTTCTCACAGGATAGCTTATCTAGACCGGTTTGTTTTTGATTATCATAATTATGCAAAGTACTAATCTCATAAAGATATCGGAGTATGTTTTCATGAACTTTATTTTAAATTTGCAAAGGAGCACCTCTATATATTGTTGACATATTGCTGGGATATTGTATGATCTGTAGGTCTTATCTCCAGGCACACACATTCTTCCAGTGATTACTGATGTTGTCATGTCTCCAGTTACTTTTTCCTTGTTTTAACATCCCTTTTATTCGAATAATATATTGTTAATATTGTCCGTTTACAACATTATTCTCACATATTCTAGCCTTTGAACAATTTCCATAGGGGTGCTCTCTGAGGGCTCCCTTACTGATTCTTTTTCTACTTTCTGATTAATTCTAATTTTATCAGTTTTGTTTTGATTTTTCCAAGTTGTTGCTATTACTGATAGTTCCTTGTTGAGTATTAAGATGTTTGGCTCCTTCACTAGTATCGTTTCGATTTGCCTATTCTGTACGTTCTTGAGTTTGCTGTCTATTTTAACTTTCTCGATTTCCTCTTCTTGAATATTATCATGTGACATGATTAGTTCTTCGATCAAACGTTCATCGACATCTAAAATGATGGGATGATATTCGATGCTAGAACTAGGTTCGTCAGACATCTTGAAAAAGTATGTTTTCTTCTCCTCAGTTTCATTGAACATTTTCAGATTATCATTAGTTACTATTGATATTTCTTTCCAAGGGGAGGAGTACGTGATAAGGCTCAAGATCTTTGGTTATTTTTCATCATCAGAGTCAGAATCTTTACGTATCTCCCTTATTTCCTTATCTTTCCTTTTTTGACAGGTAGTTTGATCTTTGCCTTTGTTGATTTCCTTCTTCTCTTTTTGACCTTCGATTCACAGGACATTTCTTTTATCTTCATTATAGAACCTTTTATTACTGATTTCATTGACGAGTATTTCCATGGCCCTATCAACATTCGAAACCTGGATCTTTATCTAGTCTTTTATGTTAGGTTTTTACTTACTAACACAAACACGCATCCTTTTTGGTGAAGACATATAGTCATTGTCATACTCAGATCCTTGGGCTTGAAAATTCATCTTGATTTTCAAATAGCTCTTCTTTATTATTGTGAACTTCGACATGATCTTCCCTTTTTTGTTCTCTCTTTTCCTAAATAACCAGTGGCACCTAGGTTGACGGGTTTTTTCCTCACTTTCGCTATCACTCTCAGCATCGCTGGATCATATCTTAATGGGTTGGGATATCTTCCTGATAGAATCATTCTTGGTTAGACAATTCTTATCACAGCGACCCTCCTTTCCATATCTGACATGCCACTCAAATTCCATATCCAATACTCCTGACTCATTTTCATTAAAAACAGCAGATACGTTATACTTTTCCGTTAATTTTTGTACCTGGTTTTTCAATTTTTGGATATGGTCTTCTAACTCTTTTCTTTTTTTTGCTTCTTTTTCAGCTCTGATTGCTGCTTTGAGTGCCTCCCTCGAATCAGTTGCATTCCTAATGGTAGGTATGAATTGCAAGTCTTCTCGTAATTTAAGCATAATCCCCTATTCAACTGTTTTCTTTTGGTAGTCTTCCGTAGAGTAAATCTTCTTGAGTAGCTTCTGAAATTGTTGAATGTACTCAAGCACCTTTTCACCTCTTCTTGCTTTATATTCTTCAATTTCGTTTGCCATTGTTCGATCATCTCAAAGTGGTAGACAAATGCCAGTACGAAATTTTCCTTGTGATTGTACTCATTGTTCCAATAGTTGAAACAGTGTTGGTGTTTGTCATACTATTCTAACACAGTTCACTTTGAATAGCTGGCCATTCTATTTAACTTATCATCATCTGTTCAGTTGTTGCAGTCGATGGCTCAGTTATAATGTTTTACCCATTTTCATGACTTTTCTTCTAGTTCATCTTTAAATTTAGGTGGTTTGATGTAACGACTTTCTTCTTCCTTAATTCTTCTTGTCCTTATTCCTCATGGAATAGTGATAGCATTTCTGGATTCTTTCCAGATATTATGATATAGAGAGGTACAAAGAGTTTCCTTATCTACATACTCTATGATTTTCAATATTTTTGTCTTTGATTTATAATTACAGCACATCTTGAGTAAATTACAAGTTTTCTAAAGAAGGTAAGATTTGTTTTTGGGCAAACAATGTGTGTTTGTTTATTTTCGAGAATAATAAATTAATTAGGGTTTTTTGTTTTCTAAGGGATAAACTTTTT